AGTATTTATGATTAGTCAAAATGTCAAATTACGAAAGGTGATAATAAAAAGAAATGATGTTGAATATCAAAAAGACAAAAAATTTGCATGTTGAAACCTAGGACGATATAAACGGTGGTACAGCACACCGTTACAAATACAATAAACAGAGGCGCATCATACAAAATCACAGATTGATGTTTATAATAATACTTATAAATATTCGCGTACCTATCGATATTTATAATTGAAAAACTTACAATCAAATCATGCTGTTATTCCATAAAGGCACACTACATGTCATCGAATATGCGTTTTATATAGATTAGTATTTTTCGTGAAACAAAATAGACTTTTAGATGTGACGCCAATTCGTACGAGTACTTGTTAGTACTTTATTCACTCCGCAAATATACCACAGACAGACACATATAACCATAGTTTCCCCAATTCCCATTTATCACAGTTCATTGGCCGCCGTAAATGAAGATAAAAGCTTCGAGTGTCCGAACTCCACTTTTGATGTCGAACATGCCACTTCCGTCCTTTATAAACTTGCGGGTACAATACTAAAGCTTCATCAATTAATCCCTTATATTCCTTACCAAATGATTCAGGCAGAGCTTCATCTGTTAATATATAGAAACTAACATCTAAAAATCATGGACTGAGTAAATTGTCTCATCTATGTAAATTAAACGAGATACTCATACCTTTGCATTCGATTAATAGGTTTTATTTGAAAAGAAAATTATATTAAAACATATAATAATAATTCATGAACTTATTGTCAGAATTTATTGAAAAAAACTTTATACTAGTTTTTATTCAATCTACTTTTCTATGCCACAATCAAAGAACCACGTATTTTTATTACGTTAGGTACATACTTTTATAGTCACTGAAAACAATATCTCCGCTGGAAAGCAAACACGTAGTAACCCGCAAAACCAAAATTGTTCTTCAGAGCAGAAAAACTTTAATTTTTTTCGATAAATAATTCCTTTAAGCTAGACCTGCGTCGATCGCGATTGATCGAATGGTTTCGATTCGATCTTAAACAGTAGACGAGTCATCGAATCACGGTTCTTTAAAAGATTCGATTATTTGACCCGCTACCTACGCAAGCCAAATTGCACTTCATTATAATAGCGTTACTGTATGTAACTGATTGCTCACAAACAAAATGATCGAGTCTTCTGCGAAGGTGATTTAATATATCTATCTCTTTCGTTTACTTACAAGTCGTGTTCGTTCGCTCTTACTCTTTTTCGCGACTTCGCGAATCACTTAAAGTATTTGGAAATATTGTTTTAAAAACGGTAAAAATCAATAAAAACACGAAAATTTTAAATTTTCCGCATTATGTAAGAACTATGATACCCAACGCCAATCTATTATTTCGTATATAATTTTTTTTTTCTTATAATTAGCCAAAATAATTAAAAAGTTGTATTGTGCAGCATAACCTGCTCAGCATAGCAGATCACTTGGGTAGTTGGGTCCCAGTTCATTTTTTGTGCGAACGATCAGAATGAACTGCGATCCAAATGATCGAAAAGATCGAGTCATTCTAACCCGATCACTATGCAGGTGGGTCATGATCGACCCAGGTTCTGAAAAATGATCGATTGACACTGGTTTACTTTAAACATCCATGGTAACAAATAACGTGTTCCTTAGTAAATTTATACAGAAACAAGTTTTTTTTTAATATAAAGATTTACCACTTTTTGGTTTTGCAGGTTACTACGTGTTTGCTTTCTAGCGTCGATATATACACCACAGAACACGGAAAAGATATATACACACAATTCAGTGTCTTGTTAGTACGCCATTTCTTGATGGTTTTAAAAACTAAATATTATTATTCATCCATGAGCAGTTTTTCGTAATCTGGTTTATCATTATATTTACATGGAAAGAAGTTTTATACACATTTTTTTTCATCGATAGTCACAGTGAACTGTCAAGATGATGCTCATAATAATTTTAAATGTTATAGAAGAACCGTAAAACTATGATATCTAAGAAACTTCTACACCATAGACGTATCATAGTTCCACGATTGTAGCAATGCAGTGACGGACTAGGGCGTGGGGGCTTAATGGCTACAGTCATCCGCCCATTGGTGTTGTATTGGCTTATACGAAATATTAAGTTTCTAGCCCAGTTGGAAAAAAATGTCGATCCGAGCTTATTGCCGCCCGGGTCTCCGACCCGCCGAGTCCGCCACTATAGCAAATGCCGATTGCCGCTAATATATGTTATTGAATATAAGATTAGTTTTCTCATCTTAATTATAGCTTATTAGGAAGTCATTTCTTTGTTGCCAGTTGGAATAGTGAATCTGGATATACGCACATGAATCTTAAGAAAAAAAAACTTGTATCCACTCACCGAACACTCAACATGTTCACTATTCCCTTTGCAAATTAGAACCTTTTGAGAGCATTATCAAGTTTTGTTTCATATTGTGGTTGGAAATTAGAGACATAATCTATCATATTAAATATTTTATTGTAAAGTCTATCTGAAAAAATACGATAAATCCTGATATCCAAAAATAAGAGCTAAAGTGTTCTATTATTGGCCTAGGAACCATAAAGGTCCACTATACCCTCCATAGACACAAGTGGTTCTCCGAAACGGCCACTAGAGTTTCGTCCGGCCCGCAATTGTTCGGCTAACGATTTCGTCAAGTGACGCGTGAACCGATAACAGCGACAATTTATGACGTCACTACCGGATCGTTTCGAAATATCGAGTGACTGTTACCCATCTGCATACAAATCACAAGATAACGGTACAATTTATATGTTGTCTGTTGGATCAGTTCCAAATAATCAAGTAACAGTTGCTTACAATATGTCAATGTATTAACCAAATAATATAATAGCGTTTAACCCCAATGTACGCACTCAAAATGTTTAGTACTACGTAACATTTTGAGTGCGTAACTAGCAAAACAACGCCATCTATTTGCTTCAATGAATTAGGGTTTGCTTTTAAAATAACTATATCTGATAATGACGACCTGCGTAGCAGAGCCACAGTGTAAATATAAATAGACAGTGGTGAAACTGCCTACAAGCGTTCGAAATCGCACGCACACATAAACACGCTCACCGACGAGCCGCCTAAGTGGACCTAACAGGACGCTCAGTAACGCGTATCGCGTCGAGACGAAGGGTGACGTTACACGTTCCGCGATCGTTTTATTTAAAAAATGAAGGAAAGATTAAGGAAAGGAGTAGGCTTATGTGAAATAAAAAATAAGTTTTTTTTTTAGATTTAGATGTATTTTTTAAATACCCGTTTCAGTATCATGCTTATTTTCGGGTTGAAACATAGTACGTTCCCACCCGAAAATACTTGATAAACACCCAAAAACAGCCGCTCATGAGCGCGCCACCTAAATGCAGTGCCTACCTACCACGCCTCCGATCCGAAGAGAGCACGAAACGTTGGACGTTTCGTGCGCTCTTCGGCTATGTGTCCGTCAAAACTTGTACAAGGTTATGCCGTAATGTCAAGTTAAAGATCAACATAAAAACAAAGATTTACAAGTTGTGTCAATATTAAACTATTTCTCATATGTTAAACTATCGTCTTTTTTACCTGAGATTAACCGATTTTTAACCGACCTCAAAAAATGAAGGTTATCAATTCGACCTGTGCGTATGCTATATTTCCAGAACTGCCCAGTTTTCGCATATGTTATTCTATATCATGTGGTGATTTAGAATAATATGAGTAGATATCACCGTCTGAACAAATGTGTATGTATATATTTTTTTGTTTGTTAATTAGTTATTACAATTCGATTGATTAATGATATCAGAACTCCTTTATATTTTGTAAAAGAAACAATGTCTAAAACATTCAATATGACAACCCTATGGTTTCAATGGAGCGTAGGTATTTATTTTACCAAATAGGCTTAGTTTCTATACTGGTTCATACTTATACTGTGGCAGAGCGGACCGCATGCCGGTTTAAAGGTCAATGTAAAAAATGAACTTTTCTATATTGTCTTCGGTCTGGGTGTTATCGTACCTTTGTTGTCTCAATACGGGGACTTCAGCTACTCATCTTGGTATAAAAGCAATGTTTGTGATGTTTATTTATAATAATTAATAAATTGATGACACACAATTAAATGCTGAATTTTATAATTTTAAAATAAAGAAAAGTTACGCCTGTCTATTTTATTGTGTAATGAAGTAGCGATTTAATTTTGCTTGTAACCATTTAACAGGCGCCAATGTGATAAGAATCTTTCCTTTTCTTATTTTAGGTGAATTAAATCAAATAACCAATTGTCGGTTTTTGTGAACTTTTTTGATGTTCTACTATAAAATTAATATAATTCTTCACAAATATCTAAAGCAACAATAGTTTTTTTTTTTTATATATATTGAAGAATTTCACAGATCTTTTGACTGATCTTCGTTAGGTTTTCAAGATAAATGTAAGTAGTAAGTATTGCTAGACAAAACAATAGTCTTATTTTAAACGAAACACCTTTTAAACGGTTTCGTCGCGTTTTTATTTAGTTTTATTGCTGTTTCAACTTCACCTGTCTTATGTGCATACGGAACCTGTAAAAGGTCCGAAACGAAAATAAATACTCATTATGATTATATAATTAACTAGCTGACCCGACAGACTTCGTCCTGTCAAAAAGCCTACATTGCTTAGACAACAGTGAGTGCTTGTAATTTAATATGAACTTTATACCATAGCAATAAAGCTCAAATTGACTACGTTTTAGTTACAAATCATTTGTATGGGAAAAAGAAAAGGGCTATTTTTAGGGTTTTTCCAGCAATAATTCTAATTTTTCTCGCCGTAAAAACCATCCTTGAATTTCAACGAACATTTTAAAAAAAGATTTGGCCAAATTGGTCGAGGCGTTGTTGAGTTATGCGCTTACCAACACATTTTGCGATTCATTTTTATATATAAGAGATAAGATTTGTAAACATAATAAGTTTCTATAATTGGCGTCAATGCTGCATACTTATTTTTGTATAGAAATAACTAAACTGCTGTTGAAACTTTGTTGAATAAATAAATAAATAAGAAATTAATGAAAAGCTTAAAGCTTAATGAAAAATGCTTAACAGAATTACGTTCCCTGGTACTTTGAGATAGGATTCGAACCCACGACCTTTCGCTATCCGGGCGATTAACCACTGAGCTACCCAGGACCTAACAGGCCCCTATCTCAGAATTTCAGAGGTTTGTACTACATTTATACTTAGTTCCATTTTTACTTTGCAAGTTAGGATTTTAATAAAATTATTTAAAATTATTAATTATTTAAAATTCATTGTACAACACACAACAGATCTTTACTATATTATAGGCACTTAAAAGGAGGTCTCAACCTATGTACTGAAAATGTAAATGGTTTGGACAATAAATATATTATTATTATTATTACTATATACAAACATGAAAATCCTAATTGTACAATAAGCGACCTTATCGCTTAACAGCGATATCTTCCAGGAAATCTTAATTATGAAATAAATCATATGCCCAGTAATAAATAAGCGAGGGTGAGGTGTGCGCATTGCAAAATTAAAATTATTTATTTGAGTAGAAGCATACGAAACTTAAACAATTATATAGGTATATCGTTGATAATTATAATAATAAATATACAATACATCAATGAAAATACATGAAAATGACAATTAACACTTAACACTAGGGTCTTGAAAGATACCAACTTTTGAGCTCGTCTAATGTTTTCAGGTAAAGAATTCCATAACCGTATAGATTTTGAAAAGTTTAACGGAATATAGAGGCGGAGATTGTCAGAAGAACGCAGGGAAGACTCATGCGTAACACATAGAAATTAAAAACGTCCTTTGAGATATATAGGTGTGGAAATGTTGGTAGGATATCTAGTATGACTAGGAAATCAAAGTGGAATAGGTAGCTAATAATAAACATAATAAACCATAAATAAACAATAAATTTTTATTTTCCGTAATCATTTAATCAAAATTATGGTTACCTATTTATTCTGTTCTTTGAATCCTATTTACAATAAAATATCGCGACAACAGGATAAGCACAGCCAAAAACTTTATATCGAACTTCAAACTTAAAAAGATAGTGATTTTATTGTTCATTTTTTTAGAATCACCTACAAAACAAATAAAAAAATAAGTGACAAATATAGCAGCCATCTGAAGTGCGAGGCTCTATTGCCTCTATTTCAGAGTAGTATTTTATCGAACTCAACCACCTCTAAAATCGACATTACTACGGTTCAAATGCTGAAAGACATTCTCGGACAATCGCGTGGTTCTTTTTTATTTATTTTTTTCTTAATAAAACTTCAAAATGCTGCAAGCATTAACCGTACAAAAGCTGCACGTGTAACTATATGTTCCATCCGGAGATGTACTTTTATTTCTTGTAGTACAAAACACGTGTACAGGATTCTTGCACTCACTGCAGTGGAATACTTTAAATATTTTCGACTGACACACAAAGCAATTGCTTTGTGAGACAAAGCCTAATTAGGCAATAAAAAGCCTAATTAGGCTTTGTCTCTTCTTCAACTACATCCATTTTACTGTCGTTAGTTGATCTGCTTTCTATGTCCGCAATTTGTATACTTGTTGTATTGATAATTTTATACAAAGAAGTTTCTTGAGGTGGTTCTTCTATTATCACGGGGTCGTCTATTTCATCATCATCTTTATCGTTATCTTCCAATGTTATAGTATCCATAATAGGGAAACTATTGTCATTAGTTTCTTCTGAATTTTGTACAGCAACATTTCCAATATTACTTAAATCAAATGGAACTTGTACATTGGAACCAAAAAATCGCGTGTATGGCGTTCTATATTTCTGAGATTCATTTTTTTCATCATTATTGGATCCACAGATAGCTTGATTGTTAAGTTTCCATTGTAAAATATGACAACCTAATCCCCAATTATCCCCGCCTGTGTCGGTGATCCATTCTTGTATACTTCTTAATACATTCGTTGGAAAGTCAGAATTCATACCTGGTTTCCAACTATCAATAATGGGTATACAATAAGACATGGATACAGACTTCAAATGGTCAAGTGCCTGAGTAAATATTACGCTGTCTTGTACAAATACTTCGAATTTCGTCGGTGGTCCGAAATCTAAGAATATTTTTAAAAATTCCATTGATATTTCTATAGGACATTTCTTCATTAAAGGTCTTAATAACGTAAAAGACGAATCTTTGTATACGTAAATTAAGAGATACTCGAATAATCCATCGGGACGATCTGTCATGTTGATCAGATCCAAATAAACAGTGTTTCTCAATTCACGTAAAAAATCTTTGTTTTTTGTGGCATCAATTTTCTCTTTCTCAGAGGTCGGAGGATATTCGAAATTGCATTTCACGTTGCATACATTGCAGCTCAAAAATAACAGATCAACAATTGTGCTGTTGATGATATAATTATCCTTCATAAATTCAAGCATTTCATCACGTTTCCCGTGACCAATGCTGAGATGAATTTTGACTAATATATCAAAAGAATCATCTATTGGTATGTATCGCAAAATAGGGTCTTCTGGCTTTTCTCTCTTTTTAATTAAGCTAGTAATACCGTCTTCTATTAAAAGTTCATAGGGTAAAATACCCAATAGTCAGCCTTTTAGTGACGAACGAAATTTAGTTTATTGATATTTGAAACATGAAACACTATACTTAAAAACAATCAATCTTTTGTGAAAAATTATTTATTAAATTTACTGAAAAAAATAACAAAATATTATACTTTTGTTAGAATTATAGAAAAAATCAACAATAATCATAATATGGCACTTTTTTCCAGTAGTCAGCCTCATTTCTCCACAAGTCAGCCATATGGCTTACCCTAAAGTCAGCCTCTCACTAACTTTGCACATTTGGCATAGAAATTTCTTATTATATATATTTTCATACATATCCCCGGCGAATTCAGTGCATTTTAGATGGTACCATGCAGGGCAGTTATCACATCCAATATTTTTCAAATCGTTGATTTCGGTATCGCTGGTCATTTCATCTTCACAATTATTACATCTTATTCTATTTATAGTGCATGCCCTATTGTTCTTTTTCTTTTTACTTTTGTTAGAATTCAACAGCAATTTCGCTTTTCTTTTTTGTTTCTCTTCTTTCTTTTTTTGTTTCTCTTCTTCTTTCCTTGCCTTAATTTCAAGTCTCTTCAGTTTCTTACTTATTATTTCATTTTTTTTTTGATTCTTCAACTCTTCTTTTTTTCTTTCAAATTGTCTCCACTCTTTGCAAGAAATAGCTCCAATCCTATTGATTGATTTTATCTTATTTTTTGTTCTAGTTACAGCAGGCAAAGTCAAATATTTATTAAAAATGGGCGAGACATCTTCCGCTTTCACAATCACATCGGACAATATATTTATTTTGCTTTTTACCGATTTTATATTTTTTTGCTCGTCTTCTTCAGTGTTATTTTTGATTGGATCAATGTTACAATCTGTCATTATGCCTTTCACATTATCCATTATATAATTATTATTTTCTGGTAGCAATGCGTCTCTTGTATTTTCTATGTCATAGGAAGTATGTATTTCTTGTCCAATGTCTTTATTTTCTTTACCATGATTATTACTTATTCTTATTTTAATGTTTTCCTTTTCGATATATTTTTCAGAGATAGATATCGGTGTCTGATTAGTGGGCCATTCTTTAAGGCAGTTACCGTTTTGATCATTTGCAACAAATATTCGTGTTTGATCTTGAATTTCACTATTTTGGTGAAGTACTGCAACGTCAGTTATGATTTCGAAGTCATTCGAGAATACTTCTTCTGTAAAAGTATCTAAATTATTTTCCAATGTATAATCACCTATAATTGGCAAACTTATGTCCATAATTTCATTTGATCCTGATGCTATTTTTGTTTGGTTTTTATCAATACCACAGGCAGAAATGTTATCAATTTTCGAATCTATCGTTGAGTTCTTTGTCGAATTTAAACTTTCAGATCCAGTCATATTGATTGCCGCACTCAGTACACTGATAACAGTTCTTGTGTCTACTCCAGCATTTTCCAGCTCTTTACTTAAATGATTAATACACTTGATGGCGGTATTCAAATGCCTATTCTTAATTTTGGCACCTGGCGATTTCGACTTACTGGAAGCGTTATGATGTTTCTCAAGATTGTTCTGCACACATTTTGAGTAGTCCAAAGCGTTTGGATTGCATGGGTATAACCCACATTTGCGAAAACCATTGATGATTGTTCTAGACAAATTTTCTTTCTCTAACACCTTTTTAAGTAATGGACAAAATGTTGCTTTGCTCAAAACATTATTGACATTTTCAGGTTGAGTTGCCCATTCGTACACGGTATTTTTCCATTCTACCTTTAAAGGTTTAAATACGCTAACATCAGCTGGCTGAATCAAATGTGTCGCATTTGGTGGAAGTGCATAAAGAATAATACCGTTTTCGTGACAATATTCGCTGAGACGCATTGTTAAGTGACTCTTGTGGCCATCGACAAAAATGAGAACAGGTTTTTTTATTTTTTCTTGTATCAACCATTCGTTCAGACCTTTAACAATGTAATCGTAAAAAATTTCTGATTTCATCCAACCTGTTTCTGACTTTCCCAATAACCATCTATCAGGCATACTGTTTATAACATCTTTAGGTGGTCGTACGTACGGAAAAACTACACAAGGAGGTAAAATTTTCCCGGAAGCTGCTATAAATATAAGAACAGTAATAGCTTCTTTTTCCTTGCCTTTTACAATTTGGTAGACATTTTTATATCCTCTTGGTGCAATGACTTTTCCAGTCTTGGGGCAAATATAAAAACTAGTTTCATCACCGTTAAATATTCGGTCAGGATCAGTCAAAATATCACTTGCATTTATGTCTTCTAAATGCTTCATAAGTTCAGCAAACCACTTGCGAATACCTTCTTCAGTTACAGCGGCTCGACCCTTAGATATATTTTCAGGTGTCCTCTCACTTAACTCGGGATTTCGTCTCAGAAATGATTGGTACCATTTCTTCCCTGGTTTATTATTTACAAATGGGTTTGGTCTTTTATCTTCAGATATAATATTATGGACGGTATTGAGGAGATCATCACGTTTTAATGGAAAGCCACATTTCGCTAATGCTATACACCAGTCTTTCAATGTAGTTTCTTCAGTTTTGGTCAGCACTGAATCTGGTCCCATTTTACGGGGCAAGTCTGGAACCCTTAAATGTAGTCGATCCTGTAACGTCCCTCGCGGAACCTTAAAAACTCGACTGGCTGCTCTAATTGCCATTCCTTTTCTTATCGCCGCCATAGCCTCTGTTAATTGTTCTTCTTTATATTGGTGAATTGGTCTCTTAGACATGATGAAAATCTAAAACAAGTGATTTTCAATCAAAATAACTCTGCTTAGGTAAATTGAACTTTGATTACAAAGGCTTTTAGTGCAAACAGAATTGACGGCTGGTTACTGGATTCGTAGATCCATTGTTCGGCCACTAACATGCAATTACATTTGTACGTGGCTGACTACTGGTAAAATACGATTTTCGTCTAAGAAAAGTTAAGCTCAAACGAATGAGCAAATTGTAATTGGTTTGCTCAGTTAATTTTAGCTAAATCTAAGATATTCCCACGAAAACTAGTAGTCAGCCACTTGTGGCTGAGTACTGGACCTGCAATCAAAATTCGCAATCCAGTAGTCGGCCACCTAAATAAAAACACATTAAACCAATAAAATGCATGTAATAGTTGATTTAATAACAAAATAAACATTCTATCGTAACAAAATAAAATCATCCACCGCAATAACAATATATAAACCCAAAAACTTACCGAAAACTTCGTCGGGTGTCCTGAAGAAAAAAAACAGCAACAATGGCGCGTCTTGACATGTCAGCGGCGGCGGTGCAAATGAATGAGCATAGTTCGTCTCCTTGATAGAATATTGGTTTGTATGTGTGCGTATTAGCCAATTACGAGACTAGGATTCATAAAAACGGTAATTTAGTAGAGTACACGAATTTCAACACTATTTGTAACACAAAAAAGTCTGTAAAGGCTGAGTACTGGTGCACGGCTGACTATCGGGCATTTTACCCTATTTAAGATAATAATCGTAATATTCACTGCAAGGTTGAACCCCTTCGGCCAGTTGATGGTTTACTAGTCTCAAAATATTTACTCCGCGAAGATACTGTACAACATCGAAATTTTTATTCTGTCTACCGTAATATACAGTAATTAATTTGTAGAACTTTTTTCTAGTCTTTGTGTAATCTAGTTCTAGGCTTACTTGATGTTTCGTGGACGATTCACTAACTGGGTGTGTTGACGACGACGCCATTTTGTGTCCGTCTCCGTGCACTGCGCGCGGGTAACTGAAGTGGGAAGCGGGGTCACTCACTCTTGCCACTCCGGCCGGCTTGTCTCGATCTCGAACAGCTATCGTTGCGTACATGAAATGCGTTTGTGTGAGTGAGACAGCTACAATACACGTCCGAATACGAACGACAAAAGACGAGCCTTCTGAGACGATAAAGATTGCAATTAAAAAAATATATGTTTATCCAAAAAGTCATTGTCTTTATCACTCTAATAAAAAAAATTGTTTCAAATGATATACGAAAAACAAAAGGATTAATGGTTTATAAGTCCTAATTGGTTAGTTATTGGAGTAGTTAGAATTATATAAATCTTATAATAGGTATTTTATATGAAAAATACCTTTGTCCAGAAAAAAACGCAATAAATAAAACTATAACAAAAAACCTTGAAAAACATTTTATTCCACACACTCGCCGATCATTAGCGCTACATTTCTGCCATCTTTCATTCTATAGCCAACCTATCAAAAAAATACTGCCATAGCTTTCGCAAGATTTCAACACAACCAATGTTCTAATTTTTGAGTTGATGCAAGTTTGTAAAATATTACCTACATTGAGTTTGTTTAATCATGATTATCTGTTAGAAATACACAAACATATAGTTGAACGACATTAGAAATTACTTTTTTATAATTAGTATCCTTTTGTATCATTGCATACTTAAATCAATATCATATTTTTTAATTACGCAGTCTTTAAAATTAGTATTTTCTTTGTATCAATATTAATAAACAACAAATACATGAATATATGGGTAACATTTCGTACGATAACACTCTCAAATCAATACTATACTTTTAATTACGTCAAATCATCATGATTTTACAAGTATTTCTTTACAAATCAAAGTAATAACTATAATAATAATAGGCTTACACTAGGTAAGTATAACGCGTAAATATTTGATTTCATATTAGACTTTGGACATTCGTTTGTCCGTTTAAAAAAGTTTTAAAATATAAGAAATCAGAATCCACAATAACATTTTTAATAAAAAAATACCTCTTTTTTAATTAATTCAATTTCTTAAAAATTTACTTTTGATAAAAATAAAAATTTACCGATATTACTAGTATAGGTATGTTTTACATTACAAGGTGTCTCAATAATTTAAAAATAATGTGACCGCGCGAAC